CGCGCCGAGAGCCGCGCGCCGCTGGGGACTCGGCCTGGCGGAGGGAGGGAGCCCGAGTCTGCGCCCGGGGATGCGGCGCGAGTGACGGCGCAATGGCAGCATCGCGCGTCTGCGAGTCTGCGACGGCAGCGCCAGGGGAAACAAGCACTTGTGCCCAGAATTTGCTGGGTTGCGCACTGGCACCTCCTGAAATTCTTGGCCCCTGGAAGTTACCGTAAAGTGCTCTTTGGGGTTAATAAAGGAACAGCAATACTATGATCCTGAAAAAGCCAGGGGACAGTACACCAAGCGCTCCGTTCCTGTACAAGTAGTGATCGCAGTTAACCTTATCAAAATAACTACTTCCGAAAAAGACTTAAAATTTCTAAGACTGATACACATTACAACAAAATGCATTGTTTCCGGTTTTTTGGTTTTTTTTTTTTTTGAGACAGGGTCTCGCTATGTAGTGCAGGCCGGCCTTGGACTATGTAGCCCAAGCTGGTGTCGAACTTGTGGCGATCCCCCAGCCTCAGCCTCCATAGTGCTGGGATTACGGGTGTGCGCCACCAGGCTCGGCTTATTTTTGACTTTTCAAGGGTGAGATTCATGGGCTGATGATTTCTGGAAAAAGTAAATACCTAAGAGGGAAATGAGACATAGGACAGCGCAGGCCGTGTTTCTTGCTTGCCTGGAAGCCGTCCCTGGAGTTCGCGGATCTGCTCTTCCTCTTAGTGGCAGAACTGACTTGGACCGGGCGGTTGGAAAGTAGTGTGTCCCCAGCGGAGACGGAGCTTCACTGTGGGTCGGAGTGAGGCACCCGCCTGGGGTCCGGGTAGGGTTTGTAGCCTTGGGTGGAAAGCTGAAGTTGCTGGCTGTGTCCCAGGCCCTCCCGGGGCCCCGAGCCCCACCTCTTGTGTGCGGGAGCTCAGGCCGCTCCGAGAGGGTGAGGGCTTCCGGAGACTGTGCCTGGCGGGGTCTGTCTGCATCCCACCCCCACGCCAGCGAGGGGAGGCGCCCCTGAGACACCTGCGCCAGGCCAGGCCCCAAAGTTGACGCTGCGGCTCGGGAGAAGGCAGAGGGCGGGGCAGAACGCAGCTGTGGCTTCCTCTGCAGTCGGGGGAAACGAAGGACTGTGGGGGTGCGCTCCAGCACCCCCGTACAGTCGCCTGGGCTCTGCACCACCCCCAGCACTAGGGCAAAAGAGAAAAAAAACCTGGCTTGGAAAAAGACAGAAAATATGACCTATCACGAGTCATTTGAAACTGATTCACAGGTGCACAGGTAGAATACAGACCAGCAAGGACAGAGAAGAGCAAGTACACCCCTAATCAGTCCCAGCACTCGGGAGGCTGAGGCAGGAGGAGCGCCTGTCATTTCAAAGCAAACCTGGTCTATGTGGCGAGCTCAAGGCCAGCCTGAACTACATAGTGAGACCCTGTCTCAAAGAAACCAAACGGGAGCTGGACATGGTGGCGCACGCCTGTAATCCCAGCACTCAGGAGGCTGTGGCAGGAGGATCCTTCTAAGTTAGAGGCCAGCCTGGGCTATAAAATGAGCTCAAGGCCAGCCTCAACTGAATAGTGAGACCTGTTTCAAAAAAAAAAAAGACAGGGCTGGAGATTTAGCTCAGCGGCACAGCGCCTGCCTGGCAAGCGCAACGTCATGAGTTCAATTCCCAGTACCGGAAAATAAACAAAAAAAACCCCAAAAAAGCCCAAACAGGGTTGCGACCATATATAATTATTTTCAACTATATGATGCATGTTGAGTCAAGCCACACCTGGGTTTTGAGCGTGAAGAAATGGTTTGCTTAGGTCTCACTGTGGATCACCTTGCTTGTGAATTAGAGAAGTCATGACATTAAGGTCGCCTCTGTTTTACTATTCATTTCTGCCAAGTTATATGCAGAAGTTTTCTAGAGGAGGGCATTATTTTTTAAACCAGCTTTATGTGAAGTTATGTTCTCTTGTCCCTCTGACTTGTGCCACAGTTTGAAAAGCTTTTTCTTTTTTCTTTTTTCCCCTGGAGACAGGCTCTTGCTATGTAGTTCTGGCTGGCTTTGAACTTACTAGGTAGCACAGGCTGGCCTGGAACTTGCAGCAGTCCTCCTGCCTCAGCCTCTGGAGTGCGGGGACTACAGGAGTGCGACACCGTGGCTGACTAAAAAGCTTTATAGGTGTCTTAGAAATACCCGAAAGTAGTGACTGTAATCTCAGGGGTGTTGTTTGCTTTGGGGGCAAGGGTCTTCCTATGAGTTCAGGCCGGCCTTGAACTCACAGTGATCCTCTTGCCTCAGCCTCCTGAGTGCTGCGATGACAGCAGACATCCGCGCCCCCAGCTCACTTGGGTGTTTTGTGCTCAGGGCTCCTTGGACCTGGTGCAGAGTACGGAGGAGGACCCACTGCTGGACGCGCGGCTGCCCGCACAGCACTCACTGCAGGCCCACTTCACACCCCGCTTCCAGCCGCTGCCCACGGCGCTCACAGCCGTTCTGCTCCTGCTCGTCCACGTGAGTCGCCAGCGAGCTTCCTGGGCTCCGTGTACCGAGCTGCAGCCCCAGCCCTTTCTGGTTCTCGTTGAGAAGGGTCTCCAGAAGCTGCCTCTGCTGACCTCAAACTTTCCATCCTCCTGCCTCAGCCTCCCAAGTGAATGGGCTCCGTGCCTGCTTCGGAGGCACCTCCACCTCTCCCGCTTTGCTTCTGTGTGGGAGTATGCAGGGGGTGGAGGGTGGAACCCAGGGCCTCACACCCGCCAGGCACAGGCTGGTCTGAGAAGTGTATAACCGTGGCCAGGTGTGGTGGTGCACTTTATAGTCCCAGCATGCGGGAGGCCGAGGCAGGAGGATTTCTGTGAGTTCGAGGCCAGCCTGAACTGCGTAGACCCTGTCTCGGAAAAAGACTACTCTCTTAGACTTCAGGGAGGACGGTTGTTTCTTTCCTCACGGGCTGTACTGAGCAGGTCGCTCCCTCCCCACCAGGTGGCGTTTGTGGTCTTGGCGTTTTTAACCGGTGTGCTTTGCTCCTACCCTGACCCGGAGGACGACAGGTGCCCGGGGAACTACACCAGCCCGCTGAAGGTGCAGAGCGTCATCGTCCTGGGCAAGGTGGCGCTGTGGCTCCTGCACCTGCTGCTCGAGCGCTACCTCCAGCATCACCACAGCAGGGCGAGGGGCCGCGGCTACGGCCGCATCGACCGCGCCACGCGGCCGCTGAAGACGCTGGCTCTGCTCACGCACTCGGCGGGTGAGTGGGTGCCGCCCCCGACGGCGGGAGGGTACGGACGCGCTCGGTGTTGCTCCGAACCGAGCTCACTGTGTAGTCCGCACTGTCCCTGAAGGAGCTGGGTAGCCCATGCTGGCCTTGAACTGCAGATCCTCTTGCCTCAGCTTCCCAAGTGTTGGGATGGCAGATGTGCACCCTGGCTGAAATGTGATGTTTTTTGTTGTTCTGGTTTTGTTTTGTTGAGGAAGGGTCTTGTTATGTAGTGTAGGCTGGCCTTGACTGCCTATGGATCCTCCTGCCTCAGCCTCCCACATGCTGGGATTACAGGTCTGCCTGTGCCAGCATGCCCAACAAATTTGATTTTATAATCAAAACATACTCCCTCATTTTAGCGAGAGGGATGTGTGTTTGTGGCTACTGGAATTTGGATGACTTGAATGTCTTGAAGCTTTTCTTATAAGATACAGAAGCTTACTAATCATAGGCCTTAACTTTCACTCAGAATCTGCACCCGTTGCGAATACTGTACCCTGTCTGAAGTGGGGGCCTCCCTACCTTGTGATTTGTTTTTGGTTTCTTTTGTTGTTATTTTGGGGGGTTATTTTTTTGAGACAGGGTCTTGATATGTAGTTCAGGTTGGCCTTGAACTCATTATGTGGCTCAGGCTGAATCATGGCGATCCTCCTGCCTCAGCCTCCCCAGTACTGGTGCTATTGTCCTGCACCACCACACCCGGCATGTTTTGCTTTTTTGCGAAGTACGTGCTTTGTCATTGACCTGCCCCGCACCCCGTCCCTTTTGCCGGTTACAGGTTTATTAATCTTAAGGAAATTGAAGTGCTGTTGTTTGACATTTTTAGCCAGGTGTTGTGGCACACACCTGTAATCGCAGCACTCAGAGAGGCTGAGGCAGGAGGACTCAAGTTTCAGGCCAGTCTAGACAGCTTAGTGAGACCTCAGAATTTAAAAGGACCAGGGAAGGTTGCTCAGCGCAAAGGCCCTGACTTCAGGCCTTAGTAGCCTCAAAAAAACAAAAGGAGTTCTGGTTTTAGGGGTTTTATTTGGTTGGTTGGTTTTGGTTTTTCCGGCTGAATTACCAGGGTGGGCATGGGCGTGTAGTGCTCCACTGCGGCCAGCAGGTGTCACCCTAAGCCAGGGTGGAAGCAGAAAGGCATTGAGGATCCTGTCTTCTCTGGGACCAAAGTAACGTTGTTTCTCAGCTGATGGGCTAGAAACCATGAACTCACAGAGTACTGAGTTAGTCCTTGTTGGTTGTTTGTTTTTATTTTAAGACCAGAATATATTTATTAGGGGAAGAAAGCTTCTGTCTGAGAGAGACGTAAGGGGTTCCTAGTGGGTTCTGAGTGGCTTGCCGGAGTTGGTCCTTTTTATTTTTATTCTGAGACAGGGTCTTGCCAAGTTGCCCAGACTGGTCTTGAACTTGGAATTCTCCTGCCTCAGCCTCCCAAGAAGCCAGGACTATGGAAAGACAAGCACTGCCTTGCCTGGCTGGAAAGCCTTTCTGAGGCCCGTAAAGAATTGTCTGATTTTTCATTGTGGAGGTTTTGTTTTTGTGTTCTTGAGATGGGCCACTGTGTGGTTCGGCCTGGCCTTTCTGCCGCTGCCTCTGAGTGCTTGGATATCAGGTGTGGGACTCCGCGCCCAGCCATTGTTTGAGTTTTCTCTCTCCAAAATCTGCATTTTCAGATTCTTGTTGACCATGAGACTTTCAATCATGAGCTGTTTTTTTTAGCAGTTGGACCTTTAGTTTAATCACTGATGGTATCACTTTTATGTTGCTCATGGACATGCTCAGAAAATGAAAGGAATTAGGGCAGGTATTTAGCTGGTTTCTATTATCTTCAATTTTTTTTTTTTTAATGTCTTATTAGGGAAAAAAAAAAGGCATGGTGGCACATGCCTGTGATATTAGCACTCTAGAAGGCTGAAGCAGGAGAATTACAAGTTCTGACCTAGCCTAGGCAATTTCGTGATTTAGTGATTTAGTGAGACTTTCTTGAAATTTCAAAAATATATATATATTTTTTATAAAAAGAGCTAGAAACCGGGTGAGGTGGTGCATACCTGTAATCGCAGCACCTAGGAGGCTGAGGCAGGAGGATCGATGTGAGTTTGAAGGTAGCTTGAGCTACAAAGTGAGTTCAAGGTCAGCTTGAACTGCATAGGGAAACGCTGCCCCCCCTCAAAAAGAAAGAAAAAGAAAAAACAGAACTAACGCTGTAAATCAACGAAGGCCCGGGTCCCACCTCTGTACATTAAGCAAAAGAAAGAGAAGGCCCAAGGGCTGCACCCCCACGCCCCCCCCACCCCGCACAGTTTGCCTGGGGCGTTGCTGGGAAGCGGGGCTGTGGGCCAGGCCTGAGCCCAGGTGTGTGCGCATGCGCTGCCAGGAATCAAAGCCAGCGGCGTGGCCCGTCCCGTCCCCAGCTAGGGCCCCAGAGAGGGGCGTTGGGCGTCCAAGGTGCAGATTCTTGTTGACTATGAGATTCATAGTCTTAGCCCGGGCACTCAGCTCTCTCCCGTGTGGAGTGAGTACGGTTAGCACACCTACCCCGTTCGGCGGTAGAGAAATCTGGGGACCTGGGCGAGATCCTGGGTCTCCCTGGTGAGAGGTGACAGACGCCGCGTGGGGCAGCCCGCGTGCCCCCTCGGTGGGCAGTGAGTGTGCCATGGATCCGGGGGTCTTTTAGAAGGACTGGCAGAGTGAACGAGCTGTGTCTGCGGTTGTAAAACTAACCTCACAGCCCGGTGTGGTGGCGCACACCTATAATCCAGGCACTCCGGAGGCTGAGGCAGGAGGAGGCCACAAGTTTAAGGCCAGCCTGAGCTACATAGTTCAAGTCCAGCCTGGACGGAGCAACATGGCAGCGAGACCCTGTCTCAAAACACACAAACATAAAAATGAAGCTATTTTTTTATCTGTGTAGCGACCCCCGTGTGTTCTTCCCCCTAGAGGCTGTAAGGCTTTGTGTGGCTCACAGAACACCTTTGTAAGCCCTCTGCCAGTGATGTTAATACGCTGGGTGGCCCCTGGTGAGAGGGCTTGGCAGGGTGAGGCTTGGTCTTTTTGAGACAGGGTCTCACTATGCTGTTCACAGTGGCCTTGAGCTCACTTTGTAGCCCATTCTGGTCTCAAACTCCTCAAGGATCCTCCTGCCTCAGCCTCCTGGAGTGCTGGGGTCACATTGGGAATGCTGGGATCACAGGCGAGCACCACCACACCTGGCTCCAGGGTGAGGCTTTGTGTAGACTTCTTTTTCTTCTGGTACCTGGCATTAAACCCCAAGGTGCTGTACCACCAAGCTACATCCCCAGCCCTTTGTATTATGACTGGAATATGAGACCGTCCTGCCTCTGCTTCCCTAAATGCTGGGACTGCAGAATGTACCATCAAGTCAGGTTGAGCTCTGTGAGATTTTGACAGGCTGTGTGAACAGGACTCTCTGGCTCAGTCCTTCTTTCTCCATGGGGAAGTATGAGAGAGACTGGGCCTGGTGGAGCAGCCTATGGTCCCAGTGCTCTGGGAGGCCGAGGCAGGAGGATGGAAAGGAGGAGCCCAGCCTGGACAGTTTAGCAACTTATTGAGCCCCTGTCTCAAATTTAAAAAGGGTGGATATATAGCTCAGGGTGAAGGCCTCAGGTTCAATCCCTGTGACCCGCCCCCACCAAAAAAAATGTGACCAGCATTATTTTCCCCTAGATCAGATTTAGATGAATAGTATATTAAATGAGTTTCAGGAAACTCTTAGATAAGGTGCCACAGATATGTCAAACTTTTCTTGACATTCTTTGGAGTAAAGGGCAAAACAGAAGTTAAAATGGTCCTCAAAAGTATCCAGGCTTGGCGGTGCACGCCCATAATCCCAGGACTGGGAGGCTGAGGCAGGCGGATCACTGAGTTCCAGGCCATCCCGGGCTGCATAGTGAGACCCTGTCTCAGAACACCAAGTGCACACACGCGGTGTGGTGGAGAAGGGAGGAGTGCCAGCGGGGGCGCGGGCGTGGAGCCGTGTGCGCGGAGAGCGCCCCTGCCGGCGGCGCCCTGAGCCTCGCGCAGAGGGACGCGGAGCGCGGCGGCGCCCCCTGCTCCCTTGATGGCACCGCGGTGGAGTCCGCGGCGGTGGGCGTGTGCCCAGGCGGGGCGGGTCTCCGCAGGGCTCTGGACTGCGGTATAGTTCCGGGGTCCAGAGGGCCTCAAATCCCCAAGCAGGGCAGGTGCTCTGGAAGCCGCGGCGCAGACTTCAGAAACCCGCCTCGCTCTTGCGTGAAGATGCGGTCTGACCCGAAGCGAGCCTTCTGGGGCTTTGTGTGTGTGCGGGTCTGGAAGCCGAGCTCAGGGCCTTCACACCTAGCCGCATCACCAGCCCTTCATAAAAGTATTTACTTTGAGACAGTGTTTTGCCAAGTCACTGAGCTGCCTAGGCTGGCCTTGAACTTGCGATCCTCCTGCCTCAGCCTCCAAGAGTGCTAGGAGTACACACTGGCACCATCTTGCCCAGTGTGACGGGGAGTCACTGTTGTAATTGTATAAATAAAGTGAGGCTGAGACAGGAGGGTCGCCTGGAGTTGGAGGCCAGCCTGGGCTACGCGGTGAGGCCTTGTCTCAGTGAAGACCACCGACCTTTGGTCTCTGCTGCCCGAACCTGCGGGCCTTCCCGCCTCCTCAGCCTTTCGCAGCGGCCGAGCCGCTGATCAGGTGTGCTCGGCGGGGCGAAGGCTGGAGACAGCTGTGCTGCTGCGTGGGGACCCCGGGGCTTGGAGGCCCCGCAGAGCATGGCGCAGCCGCACCCCGGAAGTCGCCGGCCATGTGTCGGGGTGGGGCGGGGAACCCCGGAGACCGGGACTTGCCGAGCTGGACCTGTCCCTGTCCCCGCAGGCAACGCGGCGCTGCTGCTGGTGCTGGGCGCGCAGCACTCCTTCCCCGGGCACGGCAGGCTGTACCTGGCCCTCATCCTGGCCGTGCTGGGCCTGGAGCTGCTGGGCTGCGTGATCTGGCTGCTCCTGTACGCAGGTGAGGAGCCCGCTGTGTTGGAGCCCGCTGTGTTTGCGCGGGCGTTTCCCTGCGTGGACGGAGATGCCTGGCCACCCAGCTAACTTTGCGCCACCGAGCAGGCATCACCCCAACAACTTTTGTTTCCCCACAGGCACCAGACTAGAAGTCTGACGTGTAAAAGTAAAATAGCTGGGGGGGGTGGTGCACACCGGTAATCCCAGCACCAGGGAGGCTGAGGCAGGAGGGTCGCTGTGCGTTGGAGACCAGCCTGGACTACACCGTGAGACTCTGTCTCAAAAAAAATAGTGTGGCGAGTCGGGGTTTGCAGTGCCGATGGCGCTGGGTCGGGAGCTGGCAGCCGGCTTCTCCTGACCGTGTGTGAACCGGGAGAGCGTGCCCCGTGGGCCCCCCGTGGGCGGTGGTGAGACGCGCGGTCCGAGTCCGCGCCCAGGGACGGTGAGTGCCCGCTGCTGTGGTCGCCAGCTGACCGCGCCCCGGGCCCTGTGTGTAGCACCGGCTGGACAGACCCGGGAATGTCTATTCACGGCCCGGCGCTTGGCCTCGGGAAGCGGCCTTACAGGGCTGGCTGGTTGGAAGGAGGAGCCGGGAATCCATCCGGCGGACGGGAACGACAGCCTGTCTACGGTCGGTCGGGTGATCTGAGACGAATAATGACGTTTGCTCTCTCAGTGAGAATCAGAAAGTTTAATAGAGCCCAGCCACAGCCTGACGTACTCGAAGAAGAAGAGATCTACGCGCACCCCAACGGCATCGCCTCGGAGACGGGGTTCAGGTGAGGCCCGCGGAGCAGTGGGGGGCGGTGAGGGGCCCTGCGCAGCGTCTCCCCGCGGACACCTGCAGTCCGCCCGCGCTGAGCGGACGATTAGGCCGGGTCTGTCGGCGTCTTCCCCGCCGTGCGGAGCCCAGGTCCTGCGCAGGTGAGCCGGCCGCTGCTGCGCTGTGAGGCTCACCTCACGCAGCTCACCCTGCTCCGCGCCGCCGGTGCTCTCCCTGGTGGACACACGGTGTTCGCGGCCCGATCTCACCAGGCCGCCCGGTTCCCACCGCCCTGTTCTGCCTGCACGCCCCAGCCCAGGAATCGGGCCTGCCCGCTGTGCTGCTGCCGCCCGCTCTGCCGAGGTGCTCTGATGGCCGAAGTGCCGCCCCTGTCTGCGGCAGAGCTTAGGACTAACACGGTTATTAAACACTCCACACAGGAGGCTGAGGCAGGAGGATCACAAGGTGGAGGTCAGCCTGGACAATTCAGTGAGACCCTTTCTCAAAAAATAAAAAGGGCTGAAGAGAGAGCTCAGTGGTAGCCGTCCCTGTCCACAGTTCCAGAGGGAAAAGAGAAAATTATTATGAACAAATATGAAACGAGGTGATGAGGCACTTAGGAATCTCAAGAAAAAGAGAAAGTTGTACATGACAGATAATAGTAGACCTTTAACATCTGTGTTGGTTGGTTGGTTTTGAGACAAAGCCTCACTGTGTAGTCCAGACTGCCTTTGAACTCATGATGCTCCTGCCTCAGCCTCCCAAGTGCTGCAGTTACAGACAGAGGCCTTGGTCTGGGTGACACAGATGCTAATGCAGGCCGTTTATTTGGATTTAACCCGAAACTGCCCTATTTCCTGCACCGAGAGGGTGCGGGAGGGGGCAGGCACACATGTGCGTGGAGCCCCGCGAGCAGAGGAGCCGACCCTGTCTCGTGGACGTCTGTAGAGGATGCTGAAGTACAGGACCCAAGAAACAGCAGAATTAGATTACTTAGAAAGGGGAGCCAGGCCCGGCATGGTGGTGCATGCCTGTAATCCCAGCACTCGGGAGGCTGAGGCAGGAGGATTGCTGTGAGTTCGAGGCCAGTCTGGGCTACATGAGAGACCCTGTCTCAAAAAAAAAAAAAAAAAAAATACCCACATTGCAGATTCCCTGCTGCCTGCCATCCCCTCTGCCACCAGCCTCTGACCTGGGGGTGCACCGCCTCCCTGTCCCCTCCCACCTCCACCAGCGGTCTGCTGAGCTGCTCCAGGGCCTGTGTCACAGGTCCTAGGGCGAGGGGTCTGCACAGCCGCAGCTGGCGGTGGAGCTCAGTCATTGCACTGAGGCCCCCTGCAGGCCCCACAACCACCAGAGGAAAAACGCCTAAAATGCATCACAAAATGGGGCGTTTTCTGTGGGTCCGCTTAGCCCAGCAAAATGGGGAGGAAGGGCCCCTCGGGGCTTTGCTCACACCAAACGCTGAGAACTCGTGTGGACATCTAAGAGCAGAGAGGTTGGGTGACCTGCGCGGCACAGCCTCTGGGTAGGAGGTCGGGGTTGGGGTGCACACAGTCTTCACCGCGTCTATTTGTGGTTTTATTGTTGTTGTTTTTTGGTTTTTTTTTTTTTTTTTTTTTTCTTTTTGAGACAGAGTCTCACTATGCAGTTCAGTCTGGCCTTGAGCTCACTTTGTAGCCTAGACTGCTCTGGAACTCACAGCGATCCTCCTGCCTCAGCCTCCCAAGGGTTGGGCTTACAGGCTTGCGCCACCACACCCGGCTCACAGCTTCTATTTGTAACCTCTTTTTTTTCTGCTTCCTGTGGTTTGTGCTTTTGGGGCGGGGTCTCGCTGTGTAGTTCAAGCCGGCCTTGAGCTCGCTAACTGAGCCTTCCCCAGTCTCCGGCGCAGACGGTGGCGCCTTCACGCAGGTGAGCAGCGCGCCCCGCGTGTCCCCGCTCTTGCAGGACGGCGGGGAGCCTGGAGGAGGTGGTGGAGAAGCAGGCGGACGCCATCGCCTACCTGCGGCGGCACAACGCGCTGCTCAGCCGGCGGCTGCTGGCGCTCACTGGCTCGCAGCCGGGCCGGAGCTGAGCGGGACGGGACGAGACCGGGCCGGACCCGATGGGACGCCAGGAGGAGCCCAACCAGCCCGCGCTGCCACAGCGTGGGGCCCTGATGCGCGTCACCTGCGGCCGGAGGATGGCACCGCCGCGCTCTGAACCCTGAGACCCAGTCGCGCTCATCAGCGCTTGGGGGTTGGGCCTAGGGCCTGGCAGAGCCGGCTCCACCACCCCGCCCCGGGGCCTGAGCAGTCTGAAGAAGCAGGTTCTGCTCTTAAAATAACGGAGGAGTCATCCCTGCTGCAGCCCCTGACCGGTGCGCTGCGGGCACCCGCTTTTCCCCCTGTGGCGCCGGGGAAGCTCCACCCCCCGCAGAGCTGCACCCCACACACCGCTGTCACCGAATGTCCTCACCGTGGGACCCCGCAGCCGGCCGGGGGGACGCGCGCTGACAGTCACAGCGCTCGGGAGGCTGAGGCAGGAGGGCCACGAGTTGGAGGCCAGCCTGGCTATCAGAGCAAGATCCTGCCTCCAGAAACAGCAGAAAACCGACTGCAGGACCCAGGTCTCACGGGTGATTTGATATGCAAATTCTAGTCCTTTCTTCAGAAATCACAGTTACCTGGTGACGCGCCGGGACAGGCTGTGCCCCAGTGGCAGCGCTTGCCGCTAGCGAAAGGGGGCAGATGGAGAAATTTTCCTTACCTGTCTCCTTCTTAAGGGGGCTGCAGTGTATTTCTGTATTGGATCAGTTCATCGGCTCAAGAAGTTCCGTTCCAGCAGTGGAAAGGTCTGAGGTTTAGGGGCTGGGGATTTAGCTCAGCGGCAAAAGCGCCTGCCTGGCAAGCGCAAGGTCGTGAGTTCGGTTCCCGGTACCGGAGAAAAACCAAAAACCAAAAAAAAAAAAAAAAGGTCTGAGGTTTAAAATCCGTCAACAGAGAAAGAGAGACTCATTTTTAGTCCTGGGTTATACTTAAAGTTGTGATGGGAATAAATGCCACTGACTTACATACAGGTATTAAACATCTCTGTTTCCTGGGGTCAGAGTGCTGAGCTTTCATGAGTAAATGCATCGCTTCTCCACGTTCCCTGGTGTGCTCCCCTCCTTTGTCCCGTCCCGGCCGCCCCTGTCCCGGGCCTCGGGCTTTTCATTGCAGGCTGTGGGCGGGGGGGCGTTTGCCACTGTAAGCTGGGGTCGGTTGTTAGCTGGTGACGCAGGATTTGATCTGAAAAGCTGCAAGTGCTACGTTGCAAGGCACTGCCTGGGATTAGGTAAGCAAGGGTTTTTCTTCGGTGGTGGTGGTGGCCCTGGGGCTAGACGCAGGCCCATCCAACTGAGCCACGTCCCCAGCCTTCCTTCATTTTGAGACAGGGTCTTGCTGAGTTGCCCAGGGTGACTCAAACTGACTGTCCTCCTGCCTCAGCTCCCAAGGGCTGGGATTACCCATGTGTGCCGCTGCTGTCACCGGGAAGGGATTGTTTGTTTCTTGGGTTTTTGAAATTGGGTTTTGCTGTGTTGTCCAGGTCAGACTCAACCTTGTGATCCTCTTGCCTCAGCCTCCCGAGAGCTGGGAGTAGAGCGTGTGTAGCTGCAGCTGGGATACATTCATTTGATCACGTCCACTATGATTGCTGAGGGGAAAACACCTGCTGTCTAGGCACGCCCCCCCCCCCCCACTGGGTTATTAAAATTGTCTATCACGATAAAGAGGATTTTGTGTTGCCTTCAGGGAGGGGAGTCTTCAAAACAGTGACACTCCTACATTCAGATTGTGGCTGGGCATGCTGGTGCACGCCTGTAATCCCAGCCCTGGGGAGGCCGAGGCAGGAAGATCGCTGAGTTCAAGGTCAGCTTGGGCTACTGAGTTCAGCACCAGCGTGCACTACATAGCACTACAATCTAATCCTGACTCAGAAGGATTAGATTGTATTTCTGCCCAGAGAAAAGAAAGTGGCAGAAAGAGCCTGAACTGGGCGGGTGCAGGAACTCGTGGAGTACATGTGTGGACACGGGCACCTATGCGCGGGCTCCAGGTGACCGCACCGTGAGCTCCTGGAAAGCTAGAAGCTCGTTACTCTGTAATGGATGGTGATATTCAGAAGCAAAGCGGTGAGCCCTCCTGTGAAAGAGCTGGACAGCTCTGCTCGTGTACGCCGTCCCCGGCTGTGGGCGTCCTCACGGCGCCACTGGCAGACGCCTCACTGCGTCGCCTCATTCCAGACCCTTTGGCGTCTGAGAAACCTTTTGTGCCCCAGTGCGCAGGTCCTCCACTCCCGGACCCCGGATGTGCTCCCTTGCACCAGCGCGCGGGCGGCAGTTTGCTGGCCACGCGTCCCCGCTTGTTGCAGACCCGAGGCCTGGATTCCTCTTCCTCAGTGCTGGAGAGAACGTCCCCACCCCTGGTCCCCAGGGCCACTGGGGATGCATCGTTGTGTGACAGCCACTACACCCCCTTTTTCCTCTAGGAACTGAAGCCGAAGTCTTACTTGAATCAAGTTCTCTTTTACTCTTAATTTTTCCTCAGCTTCCTCCCAGCCTACTCCGCCTCAGCACTGCTAATACTTGGGGCAGAAAGTTCTTTGTTGCCTGGTGTGGTGGTGCACACCTGTAATCCCCACCCTTTGGGAGCCTGAGGCAGGAAAATTGCAAGTTTGAGCCCCAGCCGGGCAATTTAGTGACCATCTCGAAAAATAAAGCTAGGTGTGGTGGTGCACGCCTATAATCCCAGCACCGAGAAGGCTGAAGCAGGAGGATCTCTTCACGTTTGAAGTCAGCCTGGGCTACAAAGTGAGTTCAAGGCCAGCCTGAACTGCATAATGAGACCCTGTCTCAAAAACAAACTAAAAAATGCAAAATTAAAAAAAAAAAGGGATAATTGCATAGATCAGTGCAATGGTCCTGGGTTTAATCCCCAGTACTACAAAAAAAGTTATTTTTGGGGTGTGGGTCTGTTGGTGCAGGGTGCAGGGCAGGCGACAACAGCACACCCGCCCTGGGTGCTCATGGCAGCCCCAGCCCTGTCAGCTAGAAAGGTGCCCGGTCCCCGTTAGCCCAGGGTGAGTAAGTTAAGGCCTCCGTGGATGTTAACACCGAGAACTGCCAAGGATGCCGCCCGGCCCTGGTGCTGCATCGGAGGCTCAGCGGCCGGGAGAGCTCCCGTGGTCCCGCACGGTCCTCGTCCACACGGCCGCGGCTGGAACACAATCATCGGAGGCGCCCGCCAGGCGTTGATAAAGTCCAGCCTCGTGAAGGAGTCGAAACTCCGTGTGCTCTCTGGCCACTCCGGAAATCCCACGGCAGATGAGATCAATCACACGCCCTCCTTCCTTCCAGCCTTTCTACATAGAGGGCTTTTTCCCCTGGAAGTGGGGATCACAGTTATAGCCTCAGCGCTTTTTTAAAAAAAAATTACAGATAGATTCATGATCTCAAGCCAGGTTGTTTTGTTTGCTTTTGAGACAGGGTCTTTCTGTGTAACCCAGGCCCGCCTCAGACTGGCAGCAGTCTTCCTGCCTCAGCCTCCCAAGCCCAGCAGGAGGTACTGCTATCCATCTTGGCTACAAAACTCATCCAGGTGTTTTTTGGTTTTGGTACCAGGAATCAAACTCAGGCCCTCATGCTTGCAGGCAGGTGCTGCTCTACTGAGCTAAATCCCCAGCCCTTTTTCATCTATTTTTAAAACTTTTCATTACTACCTGTTTACAGAAATAAGTGTTACATTCATGGTGGGGCCATCAGAGATCTTTTTTCACGTGCTCAGGTTTGAACCCAGGGCCTCTGCACCGAGCTGTGTCCCCAGGCCTTTTGTTACTTTTTATTTTGCACAGGTGCTCCTAAGATGCTCAGGAGGCTGGGCTCACACTTGGGCTCTTCCTGCCTCGGTTGTGGCTTCGCCCTCCACCTGGTCCCCTCGGGCACTGTGGCCAGCGGTGGCTTCCAGGACTGGAGTCCCGGGTCTCCTCCCCACCTCCTGCATGGCCTCCTTGGCGGGCTCCGCCCCTTGGGCTCTTGGTGAGGGTGAGCACTGACCCTGCCTGGGCCTCTGTCCTAGCTGCGGACCTCAGCCCCGATTCAGGCCCAAAGGAAGCCTGCTCTGCCTCTGCCCGCTGCTCCACCACGTTCCCGGACCCTTGGATTTTTTTCCCCAGTACTGGGCAGTGAAGTCCTGGAAGTGCGGATTATTCAGTTTTGAGATAGACTCACTAAATTACCCAGGCTATCCTTGAACTGAGGATCCTCCTGCCACGGCCTCCCTAGAATTTGGGATTACAAGTGTGTGCCACCACCCTGGCTAATAGGGTTTTTTTTTGTTTTTTTTTTTCAGTACTAGGAAATTGCACCAAGGGCCTTCGCACTGAGCTGAATTCCAGCCCTTTATTATTTGATATTTTGAGACAATGTCTCGATCATTCCAGGACGGCCTTGACCTTCTTGCCTCAGCCTCCCCAGTTCTGAGAGTGCAGGTACTCACCACCACACCCAGCTGTTGTATTTGAGATCGGCTCTCACTAAGTTTGACTTGCCCAGCCTGGGCTCAGGCTCCCGACCCGAGCGCTGGGTTCTAGGTGTGCACCCCATGCCCGGCTCAGCCCTTTTGGTGGTTTTTGATTCCAGTTACCAACCTCCACCCCCACAGGCAAGAAGAGAACTTTCTTGTTTGTTTGTTTTCCGGTACTGGTAATCAAACTCACCACCTTGCGCTTGCCAGGCTGGTGCTGTGCCGCTGAGCTAAATCCCCAGACCCAAGAAGAGAGCTTTCTAAACCCCGCGCTGAGTCGCTGAGTGGGGAACTAGCCATCCGCCCAGCTGGAGGGCAGGGTCCTCGTGGCTGCCAAGCCCGTCCCCTTTGTGCCCTCCTTGCTGATGCTCCTGGACCCCACACTGAGACTCCAGGCACTGAACCCGGACTTGCACCCTGCAGGGAAATGCTTCAACACCGAGCTACAGTACATCCCCAGCTGAGCGTTCCTGCAAAACGCTTCTGGCAGCTGCAGGGGCACATTCCTCGGGAGGCTGGGGCAGGTGGGTCCCCAAGTTTACAGCCAGCCTGGGCAACTTAGCAAGGCCCTGTGGCCAATCTAAAAAGGGGGAGGACTGGGGCTATAGCACAGTAGTAAGCACCCCTGGGCTCAACTCTCAGTGTGCAGGCGAGGGGTGGTTTTATAGCCAGTCATCTCCCATGGTCTTGGAGCGCGTGTCGGCACAGCTGAACTAAGGAGCAGGAGAGACACCACGCACACAGCGCACTCATGTTCCGGGGCAATTTAAGAATTAACTGAAAATCCAGTGGGAAGCAGGGGCGGGTAAATGTACCACCTGAAACCCACAGGCTGGGTACACAGAAGGGGGCTCTCAGGCTAGGGGCCCGGCACGGCGGAGAGGCCTCTTCGTGCGAGCTCCAGGCCCAGCCCCTCAGCTTCACCCCTCGGCACCGGAAGAAAACACCAAGGGTCTTTTTTTCCCTCCAGTTTATTTCTGAACTGCCATATAGAACACGGAACCTGTACATGTCACTGGGGAGCCGTGTGGTGTCAATACAGGCACACGCGATGCGGCCCTTCACACAGCTGCCCCCCCTTACCATTTCTTTATGTAGCTCATTGTGAAGCCCGGGGTTCAATTCCCAGAACAGGAAAAAAAAAAAAAAAATCACACCTACGTTCTATCCGTGCTGATACATGTTGCACAGCACACACAAGCCATTAGTGCAGAAAAACCAAGCACCAGCCGGGCTCGGTGTCGCACTCGGGTCTTCCTGGCCACTGGGAGACGAGGCAAGGAGTCCAAGCCTAGCCTGGGTAACACGGTGAGACCTAATCCCAACAACGTGACCTTACAACATGAGAAAAATGCTCACGCTCTCCGGGCGTGGTGGTGCATGCCTGTAATCCCAGCACTCAGGAGGCTGAGGCAGGAGGATCACCCCAGTCCAGCCCAGCGTGAGCGACTTAATTTAGTTAACACCTTGTGCCCAAAAAAAAGAAAAAATGGGGACCTCTACGGTGCGCAGCCCTTCCAGCCGCTGCCCGCCGCTCTCTGCCTACAGACAGCTGTGTGGGGTGAGCAGAGTCTTGTGCACCCCACCCACGGACAGACAAAACCCTCACCCCAAACCCAGCAGGGTGACCAAGCCCCAGACAGCCCTGGGAGGGAGGCCGTACTTCAGCCGCTTCACAGAGCCGTGGCAACAAAATGAAGCTTTCTCCTTTCAAGTGGGGAAACCGAAAAAAAGGGCCCAGAGCTGTGAGCGCACCGTGAAGCCAGGGACGCTTCCATTCAGAAAGTCTGCGTGGCCCGGGGGGCGCATGCGGGGACCCCAGGGGCTTGGGAGGCGGCGGCAGGCTGCAGGGTCAGGCCGGCTTGGGCAACCTAGCAAGCTCCTAGCTCAAAGATAAAGAAAAAGGGCTGGGGACCGAGCTCGGCGCATCGGCCCTGTGTTCCACCCCCACTACTACAAAAAAAACCTTATTTGCGAAAATGTAGTTCAGCACTCCCTGGATTTGATCCCTAGCATCGTGATTTACAAGAACAAAAAGCAGAAGATGAAGCTGGGGCCTGGCGCGCAGCTCCACAGCACAGTACACGCTTTAGCCTGCAAAACGCTGGGTACCGCCCCCACCGCGGCCCAAAGGAGGGTACACAGCAGATTAAGCGGGGGAAGCCCCGGGGGAAGCAGCCCGGCCGCTCTCACTCGCAGAGCCGCTCCCGGGGCACGCTGAGCGGCTTGGAGCCGGGCCCCACGTAGAAGTAGGGCTGCAGCGCGCCGGAGAAGGAATCGCGGAAGGTGCAGATGTGCGCGCCCTCGGGCATGTCGTAGAAGGACACCTCGCCCAGCTCGTAGTCCAGGAAGACGCCCAGGGTGCGGTCGCGCACGTCCAGCTGCAGCCTGCCGGGCCTGGCCCCCGCGGCG